GGCAAGACTAAGCCTTTGCAGAGCTTATTTCTCAATATATCATCTTAGCATTTTGTCTCTAAGGTCCTTAGTGTATTCATATTATTATTGAGTCTTCTACAGCACAAAGTACATATGATCAGTTTTCTTTTCTGCCCCCTTAGGTTTTATTCCAGATCATGTACTTTGTCCATCTTTTTATGTTTCCCTCCTTTCTTCCTCCCTTTTATAGTAATAGTCTGCATGGTTCTCAATGATTTTTTTCTCTTGCTCATATTTAGCATGTGAAATTCTGTCCAATGTCTTTGTTCAGTGTGTTAATACTATTGAACCCCAAAATCTCAGTGGCTCCAACCAAAAACATTTTTCTTGCTTATAAGACTGTGAATAGCCTACTGTTCAGCTGATCTCTACTTGGCTAACCTGGATTTGCCTATACTGAGGTCCTGAAATGCCTGGTATGTAAAATTCTACCTTACTTGACTCTTAAGCAGAATTGTCTTTCAATCTGATTCTTTCCAGACTGAAGTTATTGATGAAACTTGTTAGAACTTTCTTAATTTAACTTCTTTCTCATATATGGCTTCTGGAGAATAATGACTGGGACTGTATGAGGGGTAGAGCTCTGCAGAGTCCAGANTAAAACAGACAAATGGAATTGCATCAAACTAAAAATCTTCTGCACAGCAACGGAAACAATTAACAGAGTGAAGAGACAACCCATGGATTGGGAGAAAATATTTACAAACCATACTTCTAATAATGGGAAAATATTCAAAATATATAAGAAACTCAAACAGCCTAATAATAACAAAACAAATAACCCAACTTGAAAATGGGCAAGGGACCTGAATAGACATTTCTCAAAAGAAGACATATGACTGGACAACAGATATATGAAAAAATGCTTAACATCACTAATCATTAGAAAAATGAAAATTAAAACCACAATGAGATATATCACCTCACACCTGTTAGGATGGCTATTATCAAAAAGACAAAAGATAACAAGGGTTGTCAAGGATGTGGAGAAAAGAGAACCCTGTATACTGTTCGTAGGAATGTAAATAATGCAGCCATTATTGAAAATAGTATAGAGGTGCCTCAGAAAACTAAAAATAGAATCACCATATGATCCAGCAATCCCACTTCTGGGTATATTTTCAAAGGAATTGAAATCAGCAAGTAGAAAAGATATCTGCACTCCCACGTTCACTGCAGAATTATTCACAATAGCTAATACATGGAAGCAACCTAAGTATCCATCAACAGATGAAGACATAAAGAAAACTTGGTATATATACACAATGGAATACTATTCGGTCTTTAAAAAGAAGAAAATTCTGTCATTTGCAACAACATAGATGAACCTGGAGGACATTAAGCTAAGTGAAATAAGCCAGTCCCAAGAAGACAAATACTGTTAATGAGCTTTACTTAATCATTCCACAATGTAATCATACATTAAAACATCAATTTTATACCATAAACGTATACAATTATTATTTATCAATGTAAAATAAAATAAACCAGAAATGGAACAAATAATGGTAACTCATCAGCCTCGGTGCTAGATGAAGGATAACATAAAGCATAGCCCCCAGGAACCCCTCAATGGACATGTATCATGTGCAAAAGAATAAACATTTATTGTTTTATACCACTGATATTTGGGGGTTGGTTGTTACCACAGTATAACAAAGTTTATCCTGACTTATACAGACTTAGGTCCAGACTTAGGAACTGTCATCAGAAAACCTGAAATATAGTCACTACCTTAGTGGTCAAGCAGCAATTGACAAGGAAACTGCTGTTGGAAGTTGAAATGATAGTAATCTGTGTTATTCAGTGACATACCTATTGGAAAAAAACCTTTAGAAAACTCTGTGATAAACTAGAAGGCAAATGATTCTTTAAGTTCATTACTTAATAAACTTAAATGCCAGGGGAAGAAGTTGGAAAACAGAATGTTAATAACATGTAGGCTCCTATTGACTGTGTTTATCAAGTTATATGAGAAAGAGAAGAGTTCAGAAACGGCAGTGTGCAAGCAAGAATAAAATTTGACACAGCACACATAAATTCAAATTATATTTAAATGACAACTTGGAAATCTATAGAAGTATATTTTCATGGAACACATTTTACTTCCTTTCAGAACTTTGTAGCATTTTTTCAAATAAACTTAAATGCCAGGGGAAGAAGTTGGAAAACAGAATGTTAATAACATGTAGGTTCCTATTGACTGTGTTTATCAAGTTATATGAGAAAGAGAAGAGTTCAGAAACGGCAGTGTGCAAGCAAGAATAAAATTTGACACAGCACACATAAATTCAAATTATATTTAAATGACAACTTGGAAATCTATAGAAGTATATTTTCATGGAACACATTTTACTTCCTTTCAGAACTTTGTAGCATTTTTTCAATGTCTTCCAGTACTGAATGTGCTATAGCTGAATCTAAAGCAGACTATTGTTTTTTCTCCACTCCACTCCCCTTTTTGTTTCTTGCCCGAGGAGCTAAAGAAGTCTTTCTTTATTCTGAAAATTTCCTAACTTACCCATGATATATCCCTTGGCATTGATTCTTCTACAGAAATTTTGCCATGGAAGATGGTGTATACTTTTAATCTATAGGGGGGTTTTTTTCATTTATTATTTTTTATATCATTAAGCACATTTATTCTTCCATTTGTTGTGTTCTCTTTTTCAGGGGAATGTATTAATCTTGTGTTGAGCAATCTTTGTCTCTTTCATATATACTATCTTCTAATAGCTTTAATATCTTTGTTCTTTGCTTCAGCATTTTCCAAGATTATCTCAAGCCTTCCCTCTATGTCAGTAATTTGATTTTCTTCTATATAGTCTCCTTCATGCTTTTAAGAATTATTCATTAGTTCTTTAAGATGAGCATTTTGGTCTTCAGTTACTTTCCTTAGTTCTTCTATCTCCGTTTTATTTCAGTTTTTTCTTCAAATATTTATTTATTATCTACTGTATATCAGACAAGATTCTAGGTACTAGGGATATAGCAGTAGACAAAAAAGGCAAGACTAAGCCTTTGCAGAGCTTATTTCTCAATATATCATCTTAGCATTTTGTCTCTAAGGTCCTTAGTGTATTCATATTCTTATTATTGAGTCTTCTACAGCACAAACTACATATGATCAGTTTTCTTTTCTGCCCACTTAGGTTTTATTCCAGGTCATGTACTTTGTCCATCTTTTGTATGTTTCCCTCCTTTCTTCCTCCTTTTTATAGTAATAGTCTGCATGGTTCTCAATGATTTTTTGTCTTGCTGATATTTAGCATGTGAAATTCTGTCCAATGTCTTTTTTCAGTGTGTTAATACTATTGAACCCCATAATCTCAGTGGCTCCAACCAAAAACATTTTTCTTGCTTATAAGACTGTGGATAGCCTACTGTTCAGCTGATCTCTACTTGGCTAACCTGGATTTGCCTATACTGAGGTCCTGAAGTGGCTGGTATGTAAAATTCTACCTTACTTGACTCTTAAGCAGAATTGTCTTTCAATCTGATTCTCTCCAGACTGAAGTTATTGCTGAAACTTGTTAGAACTTTCTTAATTTAACTTCTTTCTCATGTATGGCTTCTGGAGAATAATGACTGGGACTGTATGAGGGGTAGAGCTCTGCAGAGTCCAGAATACCAGGTGAACTGGTGCCATAGTTCACTGATACAGACCTACTCACATGACTGCCTACAAACTGAAACAAGATTTGCAAATTTTGGAAGCCCCAGACTTTGGTACTTCAACATCAAGACCTGAAGTGCCTGACTGCACCTCCACCACTAACCACATGCTCACCAATAAGCAGATGAGATTAAATCCAACAACTGCAAAACTTGCTTGATTAAAAGCTGCCTATTAATCACTATTAATCTGCCTATTAATCATTAAGAGATATAAATACCAAGGTGAAAAATATCCAAATGGAAACGTGGAAGAGTTTCAGCAACATAACAACCCATTGCAACTTCAGATTAAGCAGGCATCAGAGAAATGTAATAACTATTACTTGTCCTGGTGGGGAAATAAGGTGTTCTAATGAATTGAATATTAAAATATCCAAATGGAAACGTGGAAGAGTTTCAGCAACATAACAACCCATTGCAACTTCAGATAAGCAGGCATCAGAGAAATGTAATAACTATTACTTGTCCTGGTGGGGAAATAAGGTGTTCTAATGAATTGAATATTATGGTTCATTATTACCACACAATATAAGTTAACTTTTTATTAAATACAGAAGATTTCTTAGAGTTTTGTGGTTCCTCATAATTGTTAATGGAAAATGTTAACTCATTAAATATTCGCTTGAGTTTTTAATTGAAATCTGGTCTAATTCGATCAACAAAATTTTACAGTATTTTTCAATGTTTGACAATTTTAAGGAGTTGGTAAGTTTCAGGAATGCCTGATTTTTCAATCTTCCTCTTCTATCTCATCTAAACATTGTACATATGTTAAATGCTTAGTTTTAATGCCATTTGTTCCATCAGACTTCTATTTATTCATCTACATCTTCATTCACTAAATCCTAATACACTCATACTCAGCGCCACACAGTATTGTAAATCATTAAGTATTTCTAAGAAGCTTAGATTGTAAGCTTCTTGGAGCTGGATCTATCCTAATTTCTTTTCAACCCTCCAGAGGACCTAGAAGTTAATATTGGGAGTATACCACGTTCAACAAATACTGGTTGGATCTCTTAACTTAGCTTTGCCACTTTTGTCCAAGTGTGTGACTACCTAGGTTTCGCTGTGCCCTGACATATATATTTGGGGGTTCTTTGTGCTCATCGACATTGTTCGGTTTTTTTAAGAACAAAGGATTTGTAGGGCAGAGATGCTGAGGCAGAGTCCCGTGGAATCTGAATAAACGGAATTTGACCCACCACCCAGAGTGTTGAGACTATGCACAAAGACTAAACCTCGGCCCATGAACAATTTAAAGATACATATTTAAAATTATCACTCCAAAGCCTAGTTACCCGCCAGTTACCCCGGCCTCCGGAGCTGCCGATGCTCAAAGATGTTCACAAGGCAGCGAGGATCTGCGGTCCCTAGGCCCAGTCGCTATGGTAACGGTGAGACGCAAGGGCACTTACGCTACCTTCTAACGACACACCTTAGCCTGAACCTAGAGAAGTGCTTAGCGACGGCAGCGACTTGCGGCAGCAGCCTGACTTACGGCCGCGCCCTCGCGGAAGCAGTTACGGGCTAATGCGAAGGCGAGCGCAGGCTTGCAGGTTCCCTAGGGTGGCCGCGCTGCAGCATGACCCAGTCGGTGGTCGTACAGGGTGAGCTACGCCGGGCGGGTGGGGACCCGGTCGCCGCCGAGCCCACCAGCCTTGTTTCCTGCGTAATGTCCATTCTCTTTCCTTCCTTTCCCTGGTCGCAGTCGGCCAGTGCGGAAACCAGGTCGGCTGCTGCTTCTGGGACCTGGCGCTGAGAGAACACGCCGCTGTCAACCAGGTACCTGCCCCGTCGCCGGGAGCCCCCATCGCCTGTCACCGAGGTCTTCCAACAAATAAGCAGAAAATACTCTATTTGAGCTTTTAGCTGACCGATATAAGTTGTGCGGAATCTTCTCAGTAAGGGACATAATGGCTTTTAAACGTTTGTTGCTGTTAGACACACACTAGAGACTAAAAGAACACTGGCCAGAGACCTTAGTCTTGACAGTTTTCCTAATTCTCAGGGTCTCCTCTTCTTGTGAAGAGCAGTGAGATAATATATGTGAAAGTACACGTGTGGTTATTATATTCCTTCATTTAACCAGTCGGCTTTTTAAATGATCACCAAGTATCCAGAGAAAACTCTCATTTGATGCACCTGTTTTACAACCCTATGGGGGATACTTTCTTCATTACCGCCTGATGAACTTAATCTGTAGCTCTCATGGCATTTACTCTCGTCTAGGAGACTGGAAGAATCAGTCCAAGCATTTTGTGATACTTGATTTTTCTTATCATAGCCACATACTAGCTGTTACAGTGAGATTATTAAAATTGAACAGACTTCATTTGGTGAAGAGGCAAAACTTAAATGCTATAAATATATATTTTTTTCTTTTTAGAAGGGAATTTATGATGAGGCAATAAGCAGCTTCTTTAGAAATGTGGATACCAGGTAAGATGGGGTTAAAAACTATATCACAGAGCCTGATGATCTTTTCATGTCAACAGATTGGGAGAAAATTCTTCAAAGGACAATAAAAAGTCGATAGCTGTGAAGTTTTTGTTTTTCTCACTATTGAAAGCATATTTATCCTCACTATTAAATCATTAATATTCTCAAATCATTCTGCAGAACAGAACAACAGATTTCTGTTTAAGGTGATATTAAGGAATGAAAAGAACATTTAGCATGATTCCTTTTAACTTAAACTTGAAATAAAGTTTCACTAAAGAAAAGCTGAAATTTTTCCTGAGGGTGTCTTGTTTATGCATCCAGTAATGGCTAACTTTTGAAACAAAAATATATTGTTTACATTTCTCTGATATTATTTGCAGTCAGGAATATTTGCTTTAAGTGTAGAATGTGCTAAAAATTAGAAAAGCAGTTGTCAGATTACTTTTTGTTTATTTGATAAAGGGTAAGTATGATATATCTTTTATCTGAAAGAGTAATTTAAGTTGACATTCAGGTTATGTCCAGAAGCTTTTAATGTTAAATCATTAAGTTCATGCATTTTCAAAATGCTTCATAAAACTAACTGTAGTGGGCTTAAACTGTAAAAACATATACTTAATATCAGGCTTTAATCTAATTCAGTAGAAATTCCAGTTCTAGTTTGAATTAGTCAGCTGGGTGTTTGAGCCAGTTATCTTCTGGGGAAAACTAATTAGTCCCCACTTTCTGAGTTAATTCCATAATCTGGTATTCAGGCTTGCGAACTCAAACTTTGTTGTTGGCACCTTGAGAATGGGTCCAGTGCTCCAGTACAGTCAAATTAACCAAACTCAAAGAAATGGGAGACTAAAAAGCAAAAACTCAGGTAGTAATTGGCATTAGGAACTATAACTCTGAAAGACCAGATACTCATTTCCTATCATAGGCACATTCTCTTTTGTAGGATATCTACCTGAAAAGCAACATAATAATCAGAAAGTTGCTTGGTGAACATGGAATCAGACCAAAGAAAGTTATGTGTATTACCTTAATGACCAGGAGTCATTTATTGTATGGTGATACCTGTCATATAGACTAGATTCCCTCTTATTTGTGACCCAGAACATCCCTTCCCCTAAATACTGTTAGGAGATTCAAATTTGCTTTTTTAATACTTCCTTTCATGTGCTCCCTTGCTAAGTTCCTACTCACACCCCCTTTTTTTTTTTTCTTGATAGCCAATCTTTTCATTGAGTATTACATAGTTGAGACTCAATCTGGAAGCTTTTCTTCTTAATAAGGTGACTTTACATAACTACTCTCATCTGCTCTTTGTTTTATTCTTTAACCTGAGATCATTCTTATTTTCCTGATATCAATTTTGGGAAGGAGGAAAGAAGTGGTATACATCTTGCTCTTCTTTCTGTGTACTGTCAACACATACAGCATCTGTTCCACAAGTTAGTATGAAAAATCTTTTTTAAAAAGAGACCACATCTTCATATATACTTCTTTATCAAATTATCATACCTTTTTAATAGCATGATGGGAATTTTACCTATACCAGTGGTTTAGCGGACCTTTTCTATAAAGGACCATATAATAAATATTTAAGGTTTTTGTGAACCATAAGTTTTGTGTTACAGCTACTTGACTCTGCCCTTGTAGCATGAATGCAGGCATAGATAGTATAGCCATGTCACTTGACAATAGGGGCACATTCCAAGAAATGCCTCATTAGGTGATTTTGTTGTTGTGCAAGCATCATAGAGTGTACTTACACAAACATAGATGGTATAGCCTATACAGGTAAGCTTTATGGTATAGCCATTATAATGTTATGGGACCACCACCATATTTACAGTCCATCCTTGACCCAAACATTAGGTGGAGTAAGACTATACATAAATGAATGGGCATGGCTGTATTTGAATAAAACTTTATTTAGGAAAACAAGCAGCTAGTTGGATTTTACATGAGGACCATAGTTTACCAGCCTCCTGACCTATGGCATCATCTATATTTAACTCAGCTTCCTTCATACAATGGTATTTGAAAAGGTTCATAGAAAATGGAATTAAAAGATAACATGAATCTTTCCATGAACTTTTTGAAGACCCTTCGTATATTCTGTCTTCCTGTGAATTATCTTTATTGATCCATACACTGTTTGTAGATTTCAGTATTTTGGTAATGTACATTCAATATGAAATTCTAGGAACACCTAGGTACTCAGTGGTATATAACTGGTATATCAGTTGATATGTGTTTGTCTGCAACAGGAAATGTTGGCTAAAGCGAGAAAGGTTCCCTTTTATCTCACAGACAGATCTGGAAGTCGGATGTTGTAAATTCGGTGAAATGCCTCAAAGACCTAGATACTGTTCCAGCATCCTTAGTGTGTTGGTTTTTTGTCCTCATGTTTATTATTTCATGACTTTAAAATGTTAGTCTCTACTCCAGGAATCACATCCATATTCATTTTTGAGGCAGGAAAAAAGAAAAAGGTCGGTACCAACTACATCTGGGGTTTTTTTTGTTGGAATAGCTTCCCAGAATGCCTCCTCTTTCTCTCATTGGCTAGAAACAGATTACATGGCCAGCCCTAATTACAAAGAAAGCCAGGGAAATAAGTGCCTCACTTTTTCAGCCTAATGGGATGTTGGCCAGGGAGGTGGTTAGGAGTGGTTGTGTCTGCATCACCTGGCCTATAAGCGGCCTTATTATATAAGTGGAAGTTAACTTTATTACCTGGTAGCACTATTAGCCATGGAAGATCTATGACCTTTTCTCATTTTTTTTATCTTTCAGAGTGGTTGGTGATGGTGGCAGTATTTCCAAGGGAAAAATATGTTCTTTAAAAGCACGAGTAAGATATATACTCTTGGATTCTTACATTGTGTGTGTTTTTGAAATAACTATACGTCTATAACTGTCATGACAATAAAATGTTACTTCTCAAATTTAAAAAACTTACTCAGCCACATTTAACATAAATATAACTAAGTAGACATATACATTTGTGTCCACCAGAAACATTAGGAGGGAAATTTTATACTTAAAAATACTGTATATTTAGCATTTTTTCCTAAATGTTTCAGGGGAGAAATAGATGTCTGGATATATAACAAAATGAACCTTCTCAAATCTAAGGATCTGAAATACATACGTAATAAATACATACAGGTTATTTTCATTTAAAGATAATGGAAGATTTATTTGCATCAGAGTTGCTATCAGGACAAAGCATGGAACAGCTACATTATAGTGAATAAATAACATAACCGTGTAAGTTCTCCTGAACAAAAATGCTTTGAGTCAATAGTCCATGTTTATAGTCTTAAGCTCATTCCAGCAACATTACTGCAGTTGTTTCTCTACAACAAGCTGCTTTTTCTGACTATTGATCAGTAATCTTTGACTACAACGAAAAAGAAAGGCAGTTTAAATGCTGTGGAAGGAACTGAGATGCTAAGGATCAGTCTTGGTATAGTGGCTAAAGAAGAGAGCAATAGTGTTGTGGCACCTAGGAACCATCTCCTTGTATCTGCAATCTCTGATGTCCTTGGAAAATAAAATTTAGGGTAGAGATCATGTGTTTTTAGGCTGATAATTGATTGACATTTAGTATACTCCCTAATGTACAGAGAGCTAGCATCCCAATCAAAGCCTCGGAGAGAAAAAGTCTGACATTTCCTAGACTACTCTTGATTTGAGTTCTTTCCTACCACCATATCAGAGAGCAGGGTATGGAGGAAGTGCTATTAGGACAGAATAAATCAATGTTTCTGTAGCCTTTGACTTTCATCCAAGAAGGTACTCTTCCACTTTCTCCTTAGGAACTCTTGGTATTACATGGCTGTGATCACTGAAGAGTCCAGGCTTCACGAGATAACTTGGTGCTTGGGTCCCTCCACTGTGTCCAGTATCTTAGGTTAATAGGCAAATACTCAGAATTTTGTAAATCCTGTTATTAGGGGAAAGCCAGAAGGCTATTAGCAGGTGGCTGTGGAAGGAAATATAAACATCAAATCCTGGAACAGTTGTGACTCCTAAGTACCCAGAATACTCTCATAAAATTTAGTTAATTTCCAAAGGAAAAACAAATCAAGGGCCTTATGGGACTAAGGAAGGAATGTAAGTGATTAGGACAGTGATGATTCTATTAAAACACTTCAGGAGGTACCTGAATGTCAGTTTGTATTCTGCATATTACTTCCCTTGCCAGATTGCAAGGTAATTGAGGGTGTGTTTTTAATGTTCCACAAATCATGTCAATAAATCTGTTTTGGAACAGGGCTAGTATAAGTTAATTTAGTTCTTGTGACCACGTAGCATTAAACAGTTACTACATGCATTGTTATAAAAGCTTTGTATCAAGCTTTGTTTATAATCTTACACAACGTGTAGTATTACAGTTTCCCCATATGGTGAAGTCCCTCTTGTGGTTGGTTAGGTGCTAAAGTCCTCATTTAAGGTAAAAATTGTATATTATCAGAAATATCCTTGAAAAATTTCTAAAATTGCCAGTACATAACCCTGTACAGTCCTCTGTACGTAGAGTATGTATGTATAATTGCCATAAAGAAGTACATTTGTAAAACAGTTCTATAGTCTTTTTAATATACTGCTATATTATTTTAGTTGTGTATCTTACAGTAAGTAGCATAGTTTAAACAAATAAAGTCACAGAATTTAAATGTGCATAAATTGTAACTTCATTTTAGTCAGAACTCTATAAATATCAAGCTTGCCTGTCTCCCTTCAATAGAGTATAGAGTTTGGTGGCTGAGAGTGAAGATTACAGCAAGGTTAGCTAGGTTTGAATCTCAGCTCTACCACTTACCAGCCGGGTGATCATAGCCAGGTTATTTAACTTTTCTAAGCCTTAGTTTCCTAGTATAAAATGGGGATGATAGTACCTATGCATAGGGTTGTAAGGTTAAATTGTTGATACAAAGTTTTTAGAACAGTGCATGTAGTAACTGCTTAATGTTATATGATCACAAGAACTGAAAAAGTCCATAAACCGAGCACTTCTGTGACAATCAAAGAGTTAACAAATAGTTTTATAATAGACCCTATGTTATTTCATTATTTTTTGCAGTTTTGCTTTTTAATTTAACTATTTTACTTTTCCACTCTTCTTCCTCACTATAGAATATATGGAACGTAAAATACAAAGAAGTGGGAAGAATGGGCTGCTTATATGTCCAGTCTTTCTATTTTTCTTTCCATAGTTAATTTTATGTTCTATATTCTCATTTTCTTAGTAGTGTAGGTTATCTCCCATGTCAATAAAGGTTGTGGTAATGAATTTGATTATGAATTACTTAGGGGAAGGGACCCTATTGTCACCTATGACTGACAACTGTCCAGTGCCCTGGCTTTACATAGAATAGTAAATTTACTGATTGAATTGGACAGTTTTGGGCTGTGATATGTAAAGAGTGACATGGTTGTTCCTAGTGAGCAAATGCACTGATACACCCTATATTTATTGAGAACTGTTTCTGGTTAAGGTTACTTTCTAGATTTCTGAGACCTTGTTAGAAATTCAGTTGAGAGGATTATTTGGTTCCTTCTCCTTGCCGTCCCTTTGGTATTTTGGAGTGGGATAAAAGAGTTTAGAATCCACCTTTTATTTGGATTCAACTTTTCGAGCAGGGTGAAATTATTTTTTAATTCTTAAAACAGAGTCTACATGAAGATTTTTATTAAGCTTAAACTAAAAAGAACAATGCAACTTTTAGATCATAAATTCTTTTCATTTATAGAGTGAATAAAGGAAAATATGCTAATTAAATTTTATTTCTCTTTCTCAGGCTATCTTGATTGATATGGAAGAAGGAGTAGTGAATGAAATTCTGCAGGGACCACTGAGAGATGTATTTGATAGTAAGCAGCTCATCACTGATATTTCTGGCTCAGGAAATAATTGGTGAGAATATGCTGGACATAAAAATTGCATGTCATCTGAAAAAAATGACTAATCTGTCCTTCATTCTGATAGGTCCTGCTGAAATGAAAGCAGCATGTAACTTGCCACCCATAAAGCCAGGCCATTCAGCCCATCATCTTTTCCTTAAGTGGTGTTTCACAGTGCTTGGAAGCCACCTGTGTTTAATCTTACTCTAGTTCATTCTCATTTTTTGTTTTTAAGATGAATCGTGAAAAACTGATTTGCTAAATTCCTCTTATAAATTGATTTTTGTGTAACACCGACAAAAGTTTTAAGTACTTTTATAAACTGTTCTCTTACCTATATTATTTGTCTGTCTCAAGTTCTCCAATTGGTCAAATGTAATAGAATTGATACAGAGATGCAAGTCAGACCAGTGTCCTAGCATTCAAGCTGAGCCTGAAGCTGTTTTGGCCCTTAAATATATAATGGCCTCCTCTCTTTAATGGGGAAAAAAGTTCCAATAGTGATCATTTAAGAATTCACCTTGAGACTGTTTTTGATGTTCTTTTTAAAAAATTAAGTTGCTCCTTGTTATTTGCAAATTTCATGTTTATTATTTTTACCTCTTTGTACCCAACCCCTCAGGTTTATAATGTGGAGTAATATATAATTTTACTAAAGCATTAATTTGAATCTTATGTTCCAGGAGATACATTTGGGGAGAACCAGTCACTTAATAATTGAGCCCACCTGACTATCCAACTGGCTTTTCCCTAATTATTGTATAACTTATTATGTAAATTCTCAGTTACATCTGACTACATGTTATAGGAAAATCATCCTTATTTTTTAATTCATGTTAGTAATACTTGCAAATTTGGGCAGCCAAAGAGATTTGCAGAGTCTCATGAATATCAATTTTCTATGTGTCATTTCGTCTAATAGTAAAATGATGTGACTGTTTTTTTCCTGTATTTTAAATCAGAATATGTTAAATTAAAATTTTTTATTTTCAATGTCTTTCTAGTTGACTGCATTCTGCTTTTTAATATGTAAAATCCACTGCAGTTCAGAGTTTCTATAAATGGAGACGAGAAAAAAACTATGTAACTGAAATCTTGTTTTGTTTTAATTATATCTTAAAGGAAAGGTTGAAAAGATAAACTTAGAAAACCATAGTTTAATATCTATTGCCAATGAGCTGTCTTATCAGGATATTTAAGGATTAGAGATATGTAATATGTGTTAAATTTCTTATCTAGTGTCTTTAAGATATTATAATAGGATTTATTGACATGAAACAAGGATAGATTTCACTTAGTATAATAAAAATACTTTTTCAAATTCTATAATCTTTTCATTTAGATCAGAAATAATAAATGCAAGGATTTTTTTAATCTATATTTTTATTTTCAGGGCTGTGGGTCACAAAGTTTTTGGCAGTCTTTACCAAGAACAGATTTTAGAGAAACTCAGAAAGTCAGCAGAGCACTGTGATTGCTTGCAGTGTTTCTTCATAATACATTCCATGGGAGGAGGTAAAATTATTTACTCGTTTGCCTATAACAGTGTTAAAATGCGAGCGGGAATTCATTCTGCAAACATAAGTCTTGTTTTCAGGCCTATGCTTGATAAAGACAAAACTATTCAGAGTGTGTATGTGTATGTGTTTGGATGTATGTTCACAACCATTTTTTATCGTAAAATTTTGTGAAATTGTATCACTATTACCATTTTTTTTTAATTCAAGCCCTCTTAAGAGTCAACAGAAATATATTGGAAATTTTTCTTCTTCCTTTAGTTTCTTTTACAAAGTGTTCAGCCACATTTCAGTATATATGAGTTTGTGAGGAATGCCTGCTTTCTCCTCAGATTTTTCTTTGCAGTTCTGTATCCTAACTAGAGCTAAGCATTTCTGGCATGTTCACATGTGTGCTTGCCAAAGAATATCAATACCCTTTCTTTAATCACCTTCAGACCTTTCTCATCTTCAGTAAGAGAGAAAAAAAGTAAATGAAGTTCTTTCAGGCACTTCCTTTAAGTCATATCTTACATGGTAATTAATTGACTTGACCTGGAAATAAATGATCTGCATTGCTTTCTTTCCCCCGGGAAGCCTATACCTTAGAACTGAGGTATTTTGCTCCCCTGTTCCATGAAATAGAAACATTATAATTCACTAATTTTAAAACAATATTATCAACTTTTAAAAGAAAAAAATTGCCACTCTTCTTTTCTCCAAGCTGAAATTAAGGTCTTATATTCAGCAGGTTGTGTACAATTTCTTTTTATACATATTATTCACTACCATAGCATTTTAAAATTAAAGTTACAATTGCAATGTAATCATGCCTTTAGAAAACCATCATAATCATTAAATAAGCAACAAACTATCTTTGTACTATTGTTATTAACCTACAAGTTAGAGTAAGTTTTCAAACAATTTGATTTATAGTTCATTATGGTAGCTTTTTTTAATTCCTCTATTACCCATCATCTCAGAAGAATATACTTTATTAATAATTCACTGAAAGTGGCAAAAACAATTTAAATAATACTGGAGGTTAAAAGAAAGTTCTCCTTTCCTGTATCTAATCCCTTGTCCCTCTCCTCACAGGTGATCAGTTTGCAGGATTTTTTTTTATATCTATCCTTTCAGATATTTTCTATGCCTTTTAAATAATGTTTTAAAGTCAGTTTCTTATTGATGTTAAGGTGTTTAGTTATTACATACAGTCACTAGTGAACATCTGGTACATACATCTCTGTGCATTTGTGCCACTGTAGCTATAGGCAATATTCCTAGAAAGGAAGATGGGGCCCAAGAAAATGAACATTTTAAATTTTGATTGATTATTACTAAAATTACCTTTCTACAATATTGCACCAATTTCATGTTATTAGCAGCAAAATATAAGACTTTTCATTTCCCTACACTGTCACCAATGCTGCGTATTATGTGACATATATCTAATATGTTCAAAATAATATCTAGTTTTCATTTGCATTTCTTTAATTAGAAGAAAGGTTGAGCATCTTTACATCTATTTGCCATTAGTATTTATTTCTTGTATTATGAGTTACATATTTATATCCTTTTT